TGAAGAATCATCCAGAAGAGAAATTTTATTGTTAGGAAGCTTCTTTCTTGTATTATTTTGACAAAGGTATAATTAATAATTTGTTTTCGTTTCTTATTTTTTAGTTAAGAATAAAAAAACAAAATTAAAAATAAATAAATAAAAAATGTTAAAGCATATACAAACTATACATACATGAATTTCACTTCTGGGACGCATAATATATTACGATCAATCATATTATTATAAGACACGTTTTTATTTCTTGTCTCCGTTTTTCCTAACTGCTGTCCTTTCCCACCCCAGTATTTCAAAGTGTCTTCGAATTAATTGTGTATGCGAAAATCGCGTGTAATAATAATGTTTTATTTTTAATGAAGATATATAAGAGCGTAAAGTGTAATTATCTTGTATCAGCTGCGTTTTATTTTTATTAATTTTAGTGATTATTATTATTCTTTTTTTTTTATAATACTTTTTCTTATGAAAGCACTTTGTATCATTTTACATGTATAGTCCATTGAAATCACATACATACATACACGCACACATATGACATATATATATTCTCTATGTTAGGACTCAACGTTTGCTGCTTTGTTTGACTGTAATTTATTAAACAGCAACAGAAAGCATAAAAAAAGAGAGAGTATCAAAAAATTTTTAAAAAGAAGATTGTTAAAGAGGATATGAGATTTTCACTGCGTCAAGGGTGTATTATTTCTTCGATTGATTTATTTTGTTCGCTTTTCTTCTCACTCTCCACTTCCCCTCCGATTCCGAGCCAATGGCAACATAATTAATAACATAAAAATCGAGCGAAGAAACAAAAGTAGCAAACGCGGAAGACCAATATTCTCGTCGCGAACGTTCTTCTCTCTTTCTCTCTATCTATCTATCTATCTCTCAATAAATACTTGCCATTTAAAACGTTAGTTGCCATAGTTTGCTGCTATTTGTTTTTGTTTTGCGGTAGAAGCTAGATAGACGTAAGCGCGTACACGCATTATGCAAAATACACGAATCCGCGAATGCTGATACCACTACGTATTCTGTAAATATTAATCTGTCCACACATTATATACATATATCTACATACACATACACACACATACACACTTATATATATATATATTATTAATGCATTAATTATATGCTATTATTAAAAAAATTTATGATCGTGAATTATCATTTCTTTTTATTGTATATTCTTATTTTTCTGTGTACTTCAATTCTCGTAATATTATTCATGGTAATATAGATGTAATTATATATACAATAATTATATTGTAAGAAGAGAAGAAAAATATTTCTAAGGAAAGTTATATAT